ACAGATCCGAGTGGAGCTCGGCTTCGGTCCAGACCCCAGAGCGTCGCACTGGACCCCAGCGTCCTGGACCCCAGCGTCCCGCCGGACCCCAGCGTCCTGGACCCCAGCGTCCTGGACCCCAGCGTCCCGCCGACCCCAGCGTCCTGGACCCCAGCGTCCTGGACCCCAGCGTCCCGCCGGACCCCAGCGTCCCGCCGCAGCGACACCGAGTCACAAACTTCAAAATAAAAGCCTCTGTTTAAAGCTTAGTGTTTTGAAAAGTGATTTTTTTTTAAGAATTAACTGATTAAAACTGAAACTATTTTGTATTTAGCAAGAAAATTCTGAAGAAAAAAACCTGCTGCCGACAGAGTGAGATTTAACTGTTCTAATGTGAGGAAATGTCCCGCAGTGGAGCTTTAACTCTCTTCTCATACAAACTGTAAACCTGAACAATGAAGCAGAAATTAAACCACTGGAGGTAAAAGGAAACATAAAGTTTTTAAGATTATTGTCTTATCGTTTTTAATTTATGTAAAAAAAAAAAAAAAAAAAAAAAAAGAGTATCACACATAATTCATTAGAGTTACGTACAAAATATATATATATAATTAAAACATTTAGGTTAAATACAATTAAAATATTTAATTTAATGTGCAGAAATTCAGATAATTGCATCGATAAATAAAAAAAATTCTGTAGTAAATTTTTTTGATTAATTTGAGCTTTCAGGTTTACAGTGTAGCGTCCTCCTCACAACACTCTGTTACACCTTGTGACATCACCAGGTGGTCATTCAGACGCTCCTCTGGGTTTTTAAAGTTCAACTCAAACGAGCCTCAGCTCTGACTCCGACAGCGATCGTTTTTCACCTCATTTGAACAGTCTGAAGCAGAATTAAAACCTGAAAAAGTCTGAAAAGAAGAAAATGTGTCTGGTTTAAATTTGTGTTTGGAAAAATCTGTGCTTTTATTTTGAAGTTTTCAAAAGACAGCGTTGGGTTGGATCACAGTTGCTTTGGAGATGCTCTTATTTTGAAGGCAGAATGCAAATTGGCGTCAGAAGAACTACAAAGAAGCAGCTTTTATTTTGAAGGATCACTGCTCATATAAAACAGCTCTGTCGCCCAAAACCCGAAACGAGTGAAATAATATTAAAAAACAGCTTTTATTTTGAAGGCAGAGGGACGCGGGCAGACAGGAAGTGGACGTTGTAGCTTTGGCTCATTTAAATATCCACAAACGAGAATCCCCCGAGACGCCGGGTTTTGTCCAAAAGGCTAAAATCTGAGTCAAAATGATCAAAAAAATAGATTTCAGTTTGTACAGAACGGCCCGAGGCGTTCGGCCGCCCCACAGTCCCACAGTCCCACAGTCCAAAAGTCCAAAAGTCCAAAAGTCCCATAGTCCAAGTGTCCAATCGTCCAACAGTCCGAGAGTCCAACAGTGCAGGAAATACAAAAGACATCGAAAATATGTGAAAGTGAAACGGGTCTGAGGCTCACACCCACGACAAATGAACTTTCAGAAGGTTAACGAGCTTTGAGTTTAGATATAAACGTTAATGATAAAGTGATAAACGTGCAGAAAAGTGAGAGTTTACGCTCAAGTACGAATATATATAAAAGTCTATTCTCTATTTAATTATTTAAGTTCAAGCTTTTATTTTGAAGGCAGAGTCAAAGCTGAAGAAGAAATATAAGAGCTTTTATTTTTTAAGGCACATTAAGTAAGTACGTCCACGGTCACGTTTGGACTTCCACTTGCACAAAAGCCCATAGAACTTTTTTCACATCAGCCGGACGTGTTTTTGGTTGAAGATTTGGTGATGGGGCAGATTTATGAAGCTGCAGGAAAATACGACACATTTTGACACCGACAAACCTGCAGCGAGACACTTCCTGCCGTTGTGAAAAAGCTCTATTAGGTGTGTACTGAATTCAAGCTTTTATTTTGAAGGCACTACAGGTTTCTCCTGGACCAACTTTGACTTGACTGTGTTTGGTTTAAGAAACAGAACAGCTTTGATTTTGAAGGTTCTATGAGGATCTGCTGCAAAAAAAAGGAGTTTCTCTGTTTCCGTTTGACATGGTTATTGCTAAATGTAAGCTTTTATTTTGAAGTTTGAGCTTTTATTATGAAGGGAATGTGCTTTGAGTGTCACGGCTGGTTTAAGAGAGATTAAAGCTTTTATTTTGAAATCACATGTACGTGTAAAACTTACACATTGATGAGATTGTCATAAAAGTCTGTTTGGTTATGGCTAAACTGAAGCTTTTATTTTGAAGGCGCAGTAGTAATGAAGTAAAGTTTGTCCTTCAGTGTTTCTGGGCAGAACCACAGACTGTATAAAGAAAAGCTCCAAATGAAGCTCATCGAGGCCAGTGTTACAACGGCGAATCTGAAGCCAAAAATAGTGAAAAGAAACGACCTGAGTTTGTGTAAAAGTTTGTGTTAATCTATAAAATCTGAATCCAAATCAAGTTCGTACAGACTGAACCAGACTTTTCCACAGACTCAGGTCGTTTCTCTTCACTCATTTTGTGGAGTTTTGTTAAAGTCGCTGTCGTTAACTGAACGGAAATGACCAAAATATCATTTACACAAAAATAATCATGAATCATTTTAGAAATAAACTCACACAAATGAAAACAGACACACAAAACAACACAAAACAACACAAACGTTTGGTTTAATTTTCTGCAGTTTTGAGCCTGTTTTATTTTGAAGAGCTGGGTGGGGGGATGCTCTGATGATCTGACGAAGTTTTTTTGCTGAAACATGAGTGTGCTGTGCTTTTTTTTCCCACTTTAATTTCACTGCTCCTGTGTTTGTGCCTCTACAAGAACCTTGGTGTGTGTTGGCGCCAACTAGTGTCTCCGCTCAGTTTCATTTCTCTCCAGCTCCAGGTCAGAATCAGAGAAAACTCAACGATCTGAAAGAACCTCAGAAGTGTGAGTTCAGGCACCGGCCAATCAGAGAAGAGACAGACATTCTGTGTTGGCGACGATTCCCCAGATCCCCGACGATTTAAATTGGAAAGAAAGGAAAGACGTTCTTGTTCTTCTTCCTACAGGATTTGGAGCTTTACAAACGTCACGACCAAACAGCAGCGACTGGTTCAATAAAAAAAGTCCCCGTCTCCTGTCGAGTGAACGAATCCTAATGCTGCAGGTCACACGGTTTCCACCAAGTGAAACCAGCTCAGGAATCAGACTAACGAACGATGTCATCGGTGTATAAAACACATTTAGTCTTGTTGTTTTATTAGTTGTTGTTCATTGTCATGCTCCTTTTCTCCACTAGAGCGGCGCACTTACACAGAGTGAGTCACAAACTCTTCAGTGTGTAGATGTGTGTGTCCTTTAGATGTGTGTGTTCTTGTGTGTGTGTGTGTGGTTTTATGTTTAGAGTTTGTAGTTGTAGTTTGTCTGTGTTTGTGCAGTTTAGAAGTTTTTGTGCGTGACTTTTGTTGTGTGTTACGAGCCTCGTGTTGTGTAATTGTGCATCGTTAAAGGTTGTATGGAGGACTTTTTTTTTTGTTTCAAATTGTCAATGAAAGTTTAAATACCATTACAGAGACGCAGCAGCTTTGTAATTATGATGACAAAAAAAAAAAAAGAATGAAAATCCAACTGTGGACGTGTTGAGGCCAGAAAAACATCAGCCAATAGAAAACGAGGCTGCCTCATTTTCTATTGGCTGTCAGGTCGTCAATCAAACTCCCTTCGTTTCTAGTGTAACTGACTCGTCGGCGCGCGGGGATTACGTCGTTTATGCAGCGTTTTTTTTAAACTGTAGTTTCCTCGCATTTCGTACAAGTTTGTTGCGACGGCCGACGAGAATCCACGACCAGTTCACCACAAAAGAAAGTCGGGTCGATGAAAGAAGAAGAGAAGGAGAAAAAGAGATTTTGGAGATTTCTTTTGGAGACTGCGTGAATGAAGCAGACGAAGGGTCTAAAAACTGAAGCATCTGTCGCCAAGTTATTTCTAGACAGGAAACTTCAACAGTGATTCTGAACGAGCACTGGATGTAAACAAGTGTGATTCTCGAGTAAAGAGGCGGGAGGAGGAGGTGTTTCTACTGAGGCTGTGGAGGAGGAAGGTGGAGTCACACAGGCACAACATTTGAAAAAGAACCGTCGCTGTATTTCTCTTCCCTTAAACAATCCTCTACACAAACTTTAAGTGTGTAGTTTAAAATATCATTGCGATGCCTTTTTCCTTTACTTCACAAATCCCCAGTAACCGTCAGTTTTTTATATATCTGCAGTTTCCTTTGTATTAAACCTGGGTCATTTAATTTAGATCTATTTATATCAAAACTGCACTGACCACACTGCCCCCTATCGGCCACTTTGTAAACTGCAGTATTATGTAAATAATCACCATTAACCACCATTTAGATTTATGATTAATATATTTAATTTAATATATTTGTTTATTCTTTGTCTTGTAGAGAAAAACACACACGTCTGTACGAGCTCAGACATTAAAGAAACGTTCTACTTTCACCTGGATCTGGACTCCCTCCTTCTTCTAACTCTGACTGACTCCATTTTGTGTCGACCTATAAAAAATCTGTATTTACAAAACTAAAGCAGCACAAATGTGTTGTTGTGTTGTTTTAGTGTTGTTTTTGTGTTTTAGTGTTTTTGTGTTGTTTTTGTGTTGTTTTTGTGGAGTTGTGCGTCTGATGAGTGCGACTTCACGCAGGTTTTAGAACGCGGCGTATAAAGGTTTAGTTTTGTGTGTTTATACAGTCTGTGGTTCAAAAGGAGAAAGTCCCGCCCTGCCCGCGCGCTAACCACTCTGCCGCTGCCTTTGTGCCTTTGAGCCTCTTTAAAGCTTTTGTTTATCTGAGCAGATTTCACCGTCATCCCCCAGTGTGAGCCTCAGACTTCAGTCGTGTTCTGTAGTGTCCAGTGGCGCCTCCTCCAGGACCATGTGCCTCAGTCCTCGTGTGGCCGGGCGCCGTCGCGTGCTCCCGTCGCCGCCTGCCCGCCGCCGCCACCCGGCCTCAGTGCCCCGCCCCCGCTGCCTCCGCCGCCCCCACCGCCGCCCGGTGTCTGTGCCGACCCCGCCTGTGCTCCTGTCGGCCTCGCTCCTGCCGGCCCTGCCCCCGCGGCTCCTGCCCGTCCGGCGCCCCCTCCTGGACGCAGTAGTTGGGGCGTAAGGAGGCGGTGAAGCCCGGCAGACACTCGCACCGGAACGAGCCCACCGAGTTTATACATCTGGAGTTTTTACACAGAGACATGCGAGGGTTCAACTCCGAGCACTCGTCCACATCTGCAACAAAACACCAGAGTTAGTCCTGGTTCAGTCCCGGTTCAGTCTCGGTCTAGTCCCGGTCTAGTCCCGGTCTAGTCCCGGTTGAGTTCTCGTACCGACACAGGCCATGCGGGACATGTCCAGGGTGAATCCGTCGAAACAGTCGCAGGTGAATCCCTCCTGAACTCGAACGCAGCGACCGTTTTCACAACCGTTTAAAACTCCACACTCCTCCTCCGAGCGCAGGCCCTCGAACGCATCAGCGGACGCTACAAACGCACAAAAACACACAAACACACACAACAGAACCATCAGAGGACGCTACAAACGCACAAAAACACACAAACACACACAACAGAACCATCAGAGGACGCTACAAACGCACAAAAACACACAAACACACACAACAGAACCATCAGAGGACGCTACAAACACACAAAAACACACAAACGCATCAGAGGACGCTGAAATACACTCACAGACTAAAAACACAAACAGGTCTCAGACTCGTCCGGGGACTGAAGTTTCTTCAGTTTTCAAATGTAACCAGAGTTCTATGAATCCCAGATGCCAGCAGAGGGCGCTGCTGACACCGACGGACCGAACGAGTCGATGTGTCGACACTCGTGGAAGAGCCCAGTGACGTCTGTGGAGATGTGAGTCTGTGTGTGTGTTGTGTGTGTGTGTGTGTGTGTGTGTGTGTCTGTGTGTGTGTGTTGTGTGTGTGTGTGTGTTGTATGTGTGTGTGTTGTGTTACTCACGGTGTTCGTAGTCGTAGTGTGTGTGTGTATGTGTGTGTGTGTGTGTGTGTGTGTGTGTGTGTGTGTGTGTGTGTGTGTGTGTGTGTGTGTGTGTGTGTGTGTGTGTGTGTGTGTGTGTGTGTTGTGTTACTCACGGTGTTCGTAGTGTGTGTGTGTGTGTGTGTGTGTGTGTGTGTGTGTGTGTGTGTGTGTGTGTGTGTGTGTGTGTGTGTGTGTGTGTGTGTGTGTGTGTGTGTGTGTGTGTGTGTGTGTGTGTGTGTGTGTGTGTGTGTGTGTGTGTGTGTGTGTGTGTGTGTGTGTGTGTGTGTGTGTGTGTGTGTGTGTGTGTGTGTGTGTGTGTGTGTGTGTGTGTGTGTGTGTGTGTGTGTGTGTGTGTGTGTGTGTGTGTGTGTGTGTGTTGTGTTACTCACGGTGTTCGTAGTCATAATAAACTGAAGTCTGGTCGGGGAGTTCGTACGTCTGGATCGGTGCGGCGACCAGAGCGTCTCGTCCGTACGCCCGAGTCCCGCCGCTCGCCCCGGGTCGAGCGCCCGACGGCAGGTTACACATCTGAGCGTAATCCTCTGAAAGACACGAGTGTAAAAACACGGAGGAGCCGACACGAGTCTCACCTGACACACTGACCTGACTGCATGGGCACAGGGCACACACTGACCTGACTGGGTGGACGGGCACACACTGACCTGACTGGGTGGACGGGCACAGGGCACACTCTGACCTGACTGGGTGGACGGGCACACACTGACCTGACTGGGTGGACGGGCACAGGGCACACACTGACCTGACTGAGTGGGCGGGCACAGGGCACACACTGACCTGACTGGGTGGGCGGGCACAGGGCACACACTGACCTGACTGGGTGGACGGGCACAGGGCACACACTGACCTGACTGGGTGGGCACAGGGCACACACTGACCTGACTGGGGTGGACGGGCACAGGGCACACACTGACCTGACTGGGTGGGCGGGCACAGGGCACACACTGACCTGACTGTGTGGACGGGCACAGGGCACACACTGACCTGACTGGGTGGACGGGCACAGGGCACACACTGACCTGACTGGGTGGACGGGCACAGGGCACACACTGACCTGACTGGGTGGGCGGGCACAGGGCACACACTGACCTGACTGGGTGGACGGGCACAGGGCACACACTGACCTGACTGGGTGGGCGGGCACAGGGCACACACTGACCTGACTGGGTGGGCGGGCACAGGGCACACACTGACCTGACTGGGTGGGCGGGCACAGGGCACACTCCATGCCCCATCCTTCTCCGTACAGGCAGCAGCACTCGGTGTAGGTGGTTTTCCTCTCGGGGCCCAGAGGTTCGGTGCAGGTCAGACTCGAAGTCACGACTCGCCAACACACGCCCTGAAAGTCCTCCGACGACTGCACCTCTGAGGAGACCAGGACCAGGACCGGGATTGAGTCCTGGTTCAGTCCTGGTCCTGGTCTTGGTTGAGTCCTGGAGTCTGAGGAGACCAGGACCAGAACCAGGACCAGAACCAGGACCAGGACCAGGACCAGGACCAGGACTTAACCAGGTCTAAACCATTTTGTTAACTGGGCAAAAGTTTCTTTTGGTCGATTCCATTTAATTACTTAATGAATGAATCGTCACATTTACACAAAACCTGTAAAGATCCAGAAAGAACTTTTACACTTTATTATTTATTCACTCAACACTGGAGTGAACGACGACTGCAGCCACAGCCGCCCTGGGGCAGACTGACACCTAAAACTAAACAAACAAAGAGTCAGGTCCAGGTCAGGACCAGAGTGAAGCTCCACCAGGACCTGAAGGATTCTGTGACTCACTCAGGTCGAACGAACACAAACTGTGACACACAAACTGTGACACACAAACTGTGACACACAAACTGTGACACACAGTGTGTGTTATTACAGTGTTTCTCAAACCCTGGCTCGCGGGCCTCGGGAGGGTCTCAGGAGGTGTGTTTTTGTGTTTTTGTGTTTTTGTGTGTCTTGGTCCTGATGCTGTGAGTCTGTGATGTTCAGTTCTGACACACGAGGCGCCACTGAGTCACTGTTTTTCACTGTTTAAACTTGACTCACACTAAATGTTCAGAGACACAATCAAAAAAACATAAAATCTGCTCATTCGTGTTCAGTAATATAAAAAAAAACACATTTATTTTGTGATTTATGAATAAATAAATAAATAAATAGAGCACAGTGAGCGCCTCCTGCAGGCGACACCAGGAAGTGTCTCCAGAGTCTGAACTGAGAAACTGATTCAACCAAAGAAACTTCTGTCCAGTTCACAAACTGAATTCTACACACAGCAGTAGTACAAGTACCTGTAGTACCTGTAGTACCTGCAGTACCTGCAGTACCTGCAGTACCTGCAGTACGTGTGGTAGTACCTGTAGTAGTAGTCGCACCTGTAGCAGTAGTAGTATTTGTACCTGTACTAGTATTTGTACCTGTAGTAGTAGTACCTGTAGCAATAGTAGTAGTATTCGTACCTGTAGTACCTGTAGTAGTACTTGCAGTACCTGTACAAGTATTTGTACCTGTAGCAGTAGTAGTAGTAGTAGTAGTAGTACTTGCAGTACCTGAAGCAGTAGTAGTAGTAGTAATAGTAGTACTTGCAGTACCTGTAGCAGTAGTAGTAGTAGTAGTAGTAGTAGTACTTGCAGTACCTGTAGCAGTAGTAGTACCTGTAGTAGTAGTAGTAGTAGTAGTAGTACTTGCAGTACCTGTAGCAGCAGCAGCAGTAGTAGTAGTAGTAGTAGTAGTAGTAGTAGTACTTGCAGTACCTGTAGCAGTAGCAGTAGTAGTAGTAGTAGTAGTAGTAGTAGTAGTAGTAGTAGTACTTGCAGTACCTGTAGCAGTAGTAGTAGTACTTGCAGTACCTGTAGCAGTAGTAGTAGTACTTGCAGTACCTGTAGCAGTAGTAGTAGTAGTAGTAGTAGTAGTAGTAGTAGTAGTAGTAGTAGCAGTAGTAGTACTTGCAGTACCTGTAGCAGCAGTAGTAGTAGTAGTAGTAGTAGTAGTAGTAGTAGTAGTAGTAGTAGTAGTAGTAGTAGTAGTAGTAGTAGTAGCAGTAGCAGTAGTAGTAGTACTTGCAGTACCTGTAGCAGTAGTAGTAGTAGTAGTAGTAGTAGTACTTGCAGTACCTGTAGCAGTAGTAGTAGTAGTAGTAGTAGTAGTAGTAGTAGTAGTAGTAGCAGTAGTAGTAGTAGTAGTAGTAGTAGTAGTAGTAGTAGTAGTAGTACTTGCAGTACCTGTAGCAGCAGCAGTAGTAGTAGTAGTAGTAGTAGTAGTAGTAGTAGTAGTAGTAGCAGTAGTAGTAGTAGTAGTAGTAGTAGTAGTAGTAGTAGTAGTAGTAGTAGTAGCAGTAGTAGTAGTAGTAGTAGTAGTAGTAGCAGTAGTAGCAGTAGTAGTAGTAGTAGTAGTAGTAGTAGTAGCAGTAGTAGTAGTAGTAGTAGTAGTAGCAGTAGTAGTAGTAGTAGTAGTAGTACTTGCAGTACCTGTAGCAGTAGTAGTAGTAGTAGTACTTGCAGTACCTGTAGCAGTGTAGTAGTAGTAGTAGTAGTACTCGCAGTACCTGGAGCAGGGGAGTGGAGCACACAGGTGTTGTGGTTCTGATCCCAGATCAGTGGGTGGGTGCAGAAACACATGAAGGATCCGTCTGTGTTCACACACTGTCCCCCAGAACAAACCGACTCGTCCACACACTCGTTTATGTCTGAGGGACGAGAGGACAGAGGACAGAGGACAGAGGACAGAGGACAGAGGACAGAGGACAGAGGACGAGAGGACAGAGGACAGAGGACAGAGGACAGAGGACAGAGGACAGAGGACGAAGAGGACGAGAGGACAGAGGACAGAGGACAGAGGACAGAGGACAGAGGACAGAGGACAAGAGGACAGAGGACAGAGGGACAGGTGAACAATCAAACATATAAACAGTAAATAAGCATACAGAGTTGTGTTGTTGTTGTGTTGTTGTTGTTGTTTATTTTCTGAACTCAGGACGTTCTTTGGACGTTCTTTGGACGTTCTTTGGACGTTCTTTGGACGTTCTTTGGACGTTCTTTGGACCTCAAACTGTTCGAGAAGAGTCCAGCTCCAAATGAAGCTCATGGAGGTCAGCAGGAACAGTGACCAAAGAGCCAACAGACACTTTTCATTCTGAGACGCTTCAGTCTCGTTTCGAGGACAATTATTTGAAGAAAACTTGTCCAGTAAAATGATCTTCTGTCTGGACACATTTCAACACTTTAACTCATTTTCTGATCAATTTAAGTTTTTAAAATTTTACATTTTGGTTGAGCTTTTGTGCAGTGAAGAAGAATGTTTTCCACAACGATCAAGAGAAGAAAGATGAAAACTTAAAGAACAACGAGCCACATGAGTCACAACAAACTCAACTCCTGTTCTGATCCTGAAGGAAACAGAAGGAACTTGTTCAAACTCAAATAAAATAAAAAATGATTTGATGATGTGGAGATTTGTACAGACACAGATTTGTGACATTTAAAAGCTCCACGTCTCCAGGAGCATCTCCAGTTTCTTTGTTGAACCTTTAGGAGTTTTTAAGGTCTAATTTTAGTATTTTATTAATTTAATTTGTATTTATTTTGTATAATGATATAATTGTTAGATTAAACTATTTATTTTCTTTTACCAAAAAAAGTTAAATACAAGAACAAGTTCATTTTGGTTGAGTGAAGAATTTGAAATAAAAACCTCAAGATTTAGATTTTTTTGTGATTCATTCCCTGAACGTCAAAAAATCTGAAGTTCAGGTAAAAACGAAACTTTAACTTCAGTTTTGGTGAGAAATTCTCAACATGAAACTTAAAATAAAAGTTTTTCCTCTAACAGAATTTGAATGAATAAACTTCACTGTATATTTGTATCTGAGGTTTTACGAAACATCTGGAGTTTGGAGCAGAACGTCCCAAAGTGTCCAGAGTCTGAAAAGTCCACACAGAACCAGGACCTAAACCAGGACTGGACCAGGACTGGACCAGGGCTGGACCAGGACCAGACTGGGACTGACCTCTGCACTCGAGTCGACTCGGGTCGTAGTCTTGTCCACTTTTGCAGTAACACTCGAAGCTTCCCTCTGTGTCCTGACAGAATCCTCCTTTACAAACCTCCTGCCCGAAGAGAACACACTCGTCTGCATCTGAGGAGGACGAGAAG